CTTAGAACCCTAAAGCTGCTACCAAGTGCAGTAAGGTAGCATACGGTTTCCAGAAGATTGCCTACGGCTTGCCCTTCAAGTAGTAAAACCATGCTAGACTTATACAACCGTACATTCTTGTGAAAGGTTAAACAAGCTAGCGTGCATATACGAAGCTTTATCCACTGCCGACATGCTACGTAGTCGATAAGCTTCACCTCTGCCAAGCGTAAAACAATCTACACCAAGTCCTAAAGTGTTGTGATACTTACTACACAACCTACGAAATTGGAGAAAGCTAAGTTTAATAGCTTAGTGGTTACGCAGACTTGTCTACTTCTGTAAGTAAGGCATTCGGCTGCCAATATTATGGCTAACAACTTTGCAAAGTTTTACACCAACACTTACGACTGCATAGGCTACGCGGGTATGTCTGCTTATAGAAAAGTAGCATGCTTGTCACTGGTCTACAAAGTTTAAAAGTTAGGGAATGAACAAAAGAAATGAAGATGAAGAAAAACAAATGAAGCATGTTTATAAACAACTAGCAAAGGCCGAAGGAGTTTAAGCAAAACAAGAGCTACAAGGAAAAACAAAGAAAATCATAAAGGCTACCTAAAAGACTACACTTCAGCAACTTGGATATCCCATGACTACTCGGTTGCCACACCTTCAGTAGCCGCGATGTTGTTAGCAGTGGCATCATCCAGTGATTCACCTCTGGCTGCCCCAGCCTGGGCACCAACTTCTCCAACTACTTCACCAATGGAAGCCTCAAAAGTAAAAGCAAGCAAGTCTTTCGGAGAAATAGAGAAGGTCTCGAAACCTCGAGCCCATCCTTCTTACCCTTCAGCTGCTTATCCTCCCCGACCAGACCAACATGGACGTGCTACAACTCATCCACTTCCTCCTTCAGACTTTCGTTGATCTTCAGTACACCTTAAAATTCCAACACTTGGGCTTCAAGCCTATTGATGATTCTCTTGAAGTGGATCACTTGATTATAAGAAACAATTAACTCTTCATCCTTTGCATAAACAGCGAAACGAAGCTCAGAAACTGCAAACTCAAGATCTTGAATCTGAGGTATGTAACATCCAATCTCCTTCTATGCAATTTCATACTTAACTTGGATCGCGTCAAGCTTAGTATTCAAGTCAACAATATCTTGGCGAGCGATCTCAAGCTGCAAAGAAGTGGGGGCAGAAATATTCGACCCCTTCAAAGCAACGAGCTAAGAATCTAACCTCTTAATCTCCTCGGCCAAGGAATAAGCTTCAACTACCATAGTCTTCATCACTTTCTTGGCAACCTTGCTATATCTGCATCATAGCAAATAGAGTAGTCATTATATGTTAGGTCGCATGCTTCGAAAAAGAACTTGGGCAAACAAACCTTTATAAACGCCATCAACAAACTTCGCACAAGCGTCTATGCCTTCAAGCAGATCTAGTTTCAAGAACACATAGATCTCAACAGCTTCCCCAAAAGCAGGCTCAGTGGATTTCTCACAGCTAACCACGCGAGCAATCTTCTCATTCCCAACAGACAAATCAGTCTCAGCAGCAGATGGAGTGGTCCTTAGTGTCACTTTAGCAGCAGAGTCCACCTTATCGCTCTTCATAATAGCAAGCATTTTCGAATGAGAACTGGACTTTGCTCCCAACGAACGTCTTGGCATAGACTTCGGCCTTAGGGCATGACAAAACCTATACACTGAGCAATACTATCAGTAATTGTACAAGCCATTCTCGACATGGCAGGCGCCACATGCTCAGATCTAGCAACCACATTTTTCTTCTCATTGGAAAAAGTCATGTCAATTACAAGGCTATCAGCAGCAGGCAGACCCTCGCAAACAGCGGAGGAAGTATTTAGTTTTCTTAACTAGCATCTCTTGAGCAGGCAGGGAAGATCTTTTCTTTCCACATTTATTCATAGTAGGCTCCACGATAGCATTCAAACGAGCCAATGCATTCGCCTCGATCTTCTTTACTTTCTCTTAAGAGAGAAGCCCACATTTCTCCCAGTAAAGGGAACTAAGCAGCCAACGTCATTCACGGTACTCAGCAAGGGAGCTCAACCCATACTAGTTTTTCCCTCATTCTTTTATCTCGGACCAGTAGGCAGGAGGCCTATATGCCTAACATTCTAGCATCCCATGAGGCCCATAACTTTTTCATTTTTCTCAATCGTCGACCTGGTCCGTATCAGGACCAAGAGCCCAAAGGATAAGAACCATGCGACTCGCCTAGCATTGTGCCCCAGCGCCTCAATCGGCGACCCCAGCCGCACAAGCTGCCCTTAGCACTAGCCAAGCTAAGCGGCCTAAGCAGTGGTCCCTACCACAACACCTCTTAGGCCCATGTCGAGCTGACTCCTGGCTTCTGCCAGCTGACGTGTTGCACCACCTCCACGGCTGCGCCACGACAACACTATCCAAGAAGAAGACAAGGAAAATTAAATTTTTCTTACTTCGGTGTGACGTAGAGAAGACGAAGAAAGCAATAAAAGATGATCATTTGCATGGGCAAGATGTAGAAGATTGCTTAAGGAGGGGGAACAAATATCCTTTAAACTTTCTCTCTCTTATAGGGTAGAATAAGTTTTTCTCTAAAGTTGATTTAATAATCCACTTAAGGTGGACTTAAATAAGCTTTGAGAAGAATTTATTTCCTTTTCCTAGAAGGATCTAATTTCCTGTCAAAGAGAGAATCTACATCAAAGTAGGAAACAATCCAAAGTTTCCTAAAGCAAGAAAATCTCTAGACCTGTTGCCCTTTTCTACGAGCAACCCAATAGGTGTGGGGGCATTTGTGGAGCCAAAAATAATCGAAAGGCGACACGTGAATTTTGGATAAAAGAGGACAAAAATATCCTTTAGGCATATCGGGATTTCTACGCGCGAGCAGTAGGCAATCATCTCTCAACCAAGTCAAGAATTCCCAAAATAGATAATAAATTCAAAATTATTTCATCCATCCTCACCCTATATTCTCCACAAAGTAATTATTCCATAACCTCCAAAACATTCCTTTTAAATTATGTTAATTGGCTAATTAATGGATTTATTACCTAATTAATCCATTAATTGCCAATTAAATCACCAATTGCACCCAAAAACTGCACAAGAGGCTGGCCACCCTCTCTCCAAGGGGCCCGGCCATGCTCTATATATTCAACCTCATTTTCTCTAAAAACTAGGTTCCAACACTCTTGCAAAACTCCCAAAAACACTTTCCAAACACTTTTCTCTCTAAATTCTAACTTTGGCATCGGAGGTTCTTCGGCCAAAGCCCCTCCCAATTCATTGTGGCCGTGTGAGGCTTTTGGCCTTAACCAAAGGTGTTAATTGTTTTATAGGTGCAATTTTGTCCAAGATCAAGGAGGAAGAAATTTGCATCCACATATTGTTTGAACTGTTTGGACATACTCTCAGTATTTCCTGTGAATATAAGATCATCAACATAGAGACAAACAATTAACATACCTCTATTCATTGTTTTGGTGAATAAAGTATGCTCATATGGGCATTTCTCGAACCCTTCTTGTACAAAGTAGGACTCTATGCGACTGTACCAGGCTCGAGGAGCTTGTTTAAGCCAATAAAGTGCCTTTTTTAGTTTGTACACCTTTTGCTCGTGTCCCTTTTTCTCATATCCAGGAGGTTGTGCAACGAACACCTCTTCACTTAATTTTCCATGTAGAAAGGCAGACTTGACATCTAACTAATAAATTACCCAACTTTTTTAAGCTGCAAGTACTATTACGACTCGTATAGTATGCAAATGTGCCACATGCGCAAGCACTTCAACATAATCCACTCTGAACTGTTGACTGCACCCTTTTAAGACTAACCAAGCCTTGTATTTGTCCACTTCTCCATTTTCATTGAGTTTTGTTTTAAAACCCCACTTCACTCCAATTGTTTTTTCTCCAGATGGCAGCTTGGTCAGTTCCCATGTATCATTCCTTTCAATAGCTTCAATCTCTGCATCTATAGCTTGTCTCCATGTTTTACTTCTCACTGGATTTCATAGGAAAAATGATCAATATCAGAAAATAAGGCCAAGTGAGCCAAACTTTCATTCACATCATCCTCCTCTGAAAAACCTTCACCACTTACATAATCCCTCATCCAAACTGGTGGTCTCCTTATTCGCCCATCTCGTGGTGAGCTTTTATCTGCCACTTACACTGATTCTTCATTTTGCACAGCTTCTTCAATAGTGTCCACTGCATGTTTCTCTTCACTGTGACCAATTATTGTGTTGTTTTCTCCTTCGATTTCCCATACAAGGTCAGCCAAAATTGCTTCCTCATGATTGTCATCCCAATTCCAGCTTTGGTTCTCATCAAAAACCACATCTCGGCTCATAATAAGCTTTTGAAAGATAGGATCAAACAGCCTATAGGCTTTAGATTCTTCACTGAACTCGAGAAAGATGCATTTCAAGCTTTTATCATCAAGCTTAATTCGCTTACTGTCAAGTACATGAGCATAAAATATGCACCCAAAAACTCTCAAGTGTTCCACAGATGGCTTACGTCCATTCCAAGCTTCTTCTGGAGTCTTGTTTTTCACAGCGAGTGTTGGACTTCTATTTAGAACATGCACAATCCAATTTGTTGCTTCAAGCCAGAAAGTCTTTGGGATTTTCTTCTCAGAAAGCATGCTTCGGACCATGTTCATTATGGTTCAATTTTTCCTCTCCGCCACTCCATTCTGTTTGGGAGTGTACACAACCATCAACTGTCTTTTAATCCCATTTACATCACAAAAATTAGTGAACTCTTGTGATGTAAACTCACCTCCACGGTCAGTGTGAAAGCTTTTTATGAACCTTCCAGTTTCTTTCTCAACCCTAGCTTTAAAGGATTTAAAAATAACAAATTCTTTTGATTTCTCCACCAAGAAATATACCCAAGTTTTCTACTAAAGTCATTGATGAAAGTGATGAGGTACCTTTTTCACGATTTGAGGTGGGACTTATTGGTCCGCATATATTAGCATGTACTAATTAAAGAGTCTCAAACGCCCTCCATATACTTTCTTTTGGAAATGGATCACGAGGTTTCCTTCCCACTAAACAATTCTCACAAACTGTCAAATGAGCTTTGATCTGAGGTAACCCATCAACCATCTTCTTTTGTTGGAGAATTTTAAGCCCATTCCAACTAAGATGTCCATAACGACAATGCCAAAGTTGGGATTGATCTATGGTCAGGGAGGAAAGACACCTTTGCTCCTTTGATGGACATTGTGCAAGCACTACGAACATCTGATTGCATGACATCTCAGTCTTCGTGATAAGACCTTTCTCAGGATGAAAAATCTTACATTTTCCATGTTGCATGAGCACCGCAAGTCCCTTCTCTTGGAGCTGTCTAATACTCAGTAAATTGTTCTTTAGCTCTGGCACATAGAAAACTCCAGTGACAACTTGTATCATCCCTTTGATCTCCATTCTTATATTGCCTTTGCCTAACATAATGAGACTCAAGTCGTTGCCCAAATTCACCGACTCTCGAAAGTTGTTGTCAAAGTCTGAAAACATATCCCTTTTTCCATACATATGGTTACTGTAACCTAAATCCAGGAACCAAATGTGATCTCCATCAACTTCATTGGTGTTCACATATGCCATCAGTAGCATCTCTTCACTTACCTCTGCATAATTTTCCCTAGACTCATTTCCCTTCTTAGGGCACTCCCATTGGAAATGCCCTAGTTCATGACAATTGTCACACTCTAGGGTGGATTTATCAATCTAGATCTACTCCCTCCTCTTCCTCTTCCACGGTAAGCATCTCCACTTCTTCCTTCTGACTGCACACCTTGTGTGATTTGCAATGCTTGCTCGTCCACAATGTGCCAACTCATCCTTTGTTCATGCACCGAAAGGCTACTTTGAAGCTCATTAATAGACAAAGCAACCAAGTCGTTTGAAGCTCATCATACTTCGGTGTCATAGATCTCAGAATTTTTTCAATGATTACCACATCATCCTTTGTTCTCCGTGAATTCTCATCTTGTTTGTTATGACAAGAGTTCTTCCAAGGTAATCATTCACCGATTCTCCAACCTTCATGTGAAGCACTTCAAACTCTTTGTGAAGAGCTTGCAAATGGGCACGTTTGACTCGTACTGTTCCCTGATACTTTTGCTTCAATGAATCCCAAATGTCCTTTGCAGTGTCCTTCTTCAAAATCGTCTCCAAGATTGACCGATCAATGGCTTGAAACAGGTAGTTCTTAGCCTTCAAATCCTTCAGCTTAAGATAGTCAATTGTCTTCTTCTGACCCTCAATGAGATCCATCCTTGCTGCTGCACGAATCCCAATTTCCACCAAGTTCCAATACTTCTTAGACCGTAGGAAGTTCTCCATGAGCATGCTCCAGTAATCGTAGTGTCCATCAAACCTTGGAATGGCAGGCTGCACAAAGATGTTCTCAGTTGCCATGTCACTGCTCGTTCATTCTTACTCATGTGTTTCAAATTTTGATCAGGCCCCGTGATGGGGCTCTAATACCAGATGTTGTAACCAGAAAGAAAACACAAGAGTTTACATAAAACAAAAGCTTGATAACACTTGATTGCTGGGAGAACTTTCTCGTTGAAATAAAGAGCAGATAGCTATTAAATAGCCATACAACTTGAACGTGAAAAGAAGCAACAACCCACGACTAAGCAGACCTAGAATCGTGGTATAGACTAAGTCAAAACAAATAACCTTGTCCCTCAAGAATAGGGATTATTAAGCATGACTCAAGACAAGCCTAAAAACAAGAAACCCTAACCCTAATGCTAGAATATCCTAACAACTTTAATAGGAGGAGCATCGCTGCTCCTCGACCTGTACTATTAAGAGTGCTGCGATGGCAAGTCGGTGATGGTACAGCCATCAAAATATGGGGCGACAACTGGGTGCCCCGGGAAAACGTTTTCAAAATCACCACGCCACCTCCAGTGCACTGGTGTGGTGCGGACACGGTGTATAAATTATTTTTGGAAGGATCTCGCCATTGGGACATGGAACTTCTTGGTACTTTATTTTTCTCCGAGGAGACTGAGGCTATACAACGTATCCCACTGAGCTTAAGACCCATGGACAACAAATTAATCTGGCATCATGAACGAAACGGTATCTTTACCGTCAAGAGTGCCTATCACTTGGCAAGAAGAGAGGTCGAGATGCACAGGGCGATAGCAGATCGTTCTAGCACGCAAGATCACAAAACAATACTATGGAAAGAAGTTATGGAATGCTTGCGTTCGAGGGAAGGTGAAAATTGCTGCTTGGCAAGGATGTTTAAACTCTTTGCCTACTAGATCGAAGCTCGTCAGCAAGAAATAACTTATGAAACTGAATGCCTTTTTTGCTCTCGCAAGTCAGAGACCATCGAACATGTTTGGAGGGACTACTCTATGGTGGTTGCGGTATGGTTCTTAACATTGGGATTGAAGGAGGCAGCGGGTCCTCAGCAACCATTATTAGATTGGGTGGCTCAGCTTGCTCAAAAGTTACCCAAACAAGCCTTCGAGTTGATGTTGATGACGCTATGGAGTATTTGGCGTGCGAGGAACAATTTATTATGGAAGGATGCAGAGGGGGAGTTGGAGGTGTGCGAAAGGTGCAGTGGCACAGGGCCCCACCCCAAAATTTTTGAACCTCCCTTATATTACACATGAGTGTAAATTTCTAATAAAACAAAGTTTTAAACTGAAAAGAAAAATCATCATCATTACATGTGGAAGAAAGTAATACATAAGTTATTTTTTTATTGCTTAATATAAAAGTTGAAGAAAATAGTACACACGTTTTTTATTGTTAAAAAAATTAAAAAAAATATATATTGAGTACAAGCTTCGTACAAATACAAACATGTTTTCATGGGGTGTACTATCCACACACCCCTTTTTACTTCTCCCACACCCCTTATTAATTTCTATCATTTGATCTTCTTTAACTCATCTGATCCGACGGCCGAAAATTAAAAGGGTGTGAGAGAAGTAAAAAGGGGTGTGTGGATATCACACCCCTATTTCCATATCTCTCTTTCAATTGTGCTCCATTTTTTCTATAGATGAACCCTAAATCATGACTTTATTTTGGAGATTATTCAATTAGTAAGAGGGATGTTGATTTCAATTTAGTTTGAATATTGATTGTTGAGCTTTGTATGGATATATTGTCCAATAACATTTTTTTTTTTTAAATAAGGAGGGTCTTTTTATTAAATTCGCACATGCCCCCAAAATGTCAGAAATGACCCTGGAAGGTTGTGCAAACACCGCCTCAAGAGATTGCTCTCCGAGCTGAGGAATGGATGTTCGCATACAACGCTGGCATCTACCAAAGATGAAGGCCCGAAGAAGCTACGAGACAACGTTGGGTTCTGTTGTGCGGAAGCGGCATCCAACTGTAAGTGAATAAGTAAAACAGAACAGAATAAAACCAACATCAACAAGAACACCAAGATTTATACTGGTTCGACAATGCCTACATCCAGTTTGGAGACGACGGAGTATTCCACTATAATCAATGAGAACATACAATAGTGTTTATCACTCAATTTCCCAAAGACCCAAATAACCCAAGCTTTCACACTTACAATAGGAAGAGAAAACAAAAAATTACAAAGCAAGACAATTTGAGAAAATTCTTCTCTATGCCGAATGGCTTCTTGCTATTTTTCCTCTTCCTTGTTGTTCACCTCTCCATGCTTATGGGCTGCACCTTGCTCCCCTTTTATAGCCAAAGAAAAGCTTCTCAAAGACATCAATGGCCAAAGGCCTACCATCAAGTCAAAAGAGTTAGGCACAAAGAGTTAGGCACAATTATAGTTTGTCTCCCATTACCACAAAGTAGCCCAAAGAATTGAACTTTGACTACATGTTTGAGTCAATAATCAACAATCTCCACCTTGGCTCAAACCCTCTAAGTAGAACTCCTAATAGTCGTCTCCCAATCCCCCATGGGGCAATCAACAAATTTTACAAATGCCAATCAAGTCTAAGCAGTGCTTAAACTTGTGCAATGAAACTGGCTTTGTTAACATATTCGCAGGATTGTCAGCGGTCCCAATCTTCTGAAGAAGAATATCTCCCTCGTCAATAACCTCACGAACAAAATGGAACCTCACGTCAATGTGTTTCGTACGTGCATGATGAACTTGATTCTTTGCTAAATGAATAGCACTCTGACTGTCGCAATGAACATCCACATGGTCTTGTTGAACCCCTAAGTCATTAGGCAACCCTTGAAGCCAGATGGCTTCCTTTATAGCTTCTGTTACAGCCATGTATTCTGCCTCAGTAGTCGACAAAGCAACTGTAGATTGCAGAATCGACCTCCAACTTACTGGACCTCCAGCAGTAGTGAATACAAAACCCGTAGTGGACCTACGCTTGTCCAAATCACCTGCGTAATCAGAATCCACATATCCAACAACACATTGACCAGTAACTTTATCCTGCTGGAACAATAAACCAACATCCACAGTACCCAGAATATACCGTAGAATCCATTTCACAGCTTGCCAATGCCCTTTTCCTGGATTATGCATATATCTACTAACAATACTAACAGCTTGTGAAATATCAGGCCTAGTACACACCATAGCATACATCAAACTACCAACAACATTTGCATAAGGAATTTGAGCCATGTACTGACTCTCTTCAACAGTTTTAGGAGACATAGAAGTGCTAAGTTTGAAATGAGAGGCAAGAGGTGTACTAACCGGTTTTGAATTTTCATTCATCCTGAAACGTTGTAGTACCTTCTTCAAATATTGCTTCTGACACAGACTAATCTTGCCCTTCGCTCTATCTCTTTCAATTTCCATACCTAGTATCTTCCGAGCTTCTCCCAAGTCCTTCATCTCAAATTCATTACTTAGTTGAGTCTTCAACCTTTCAATCTCCACTTTGCTCTTACATGCTATAAGTATATCATCAACATATAAAAGCAGATAAATGAAGGTTCCATCTTGTAGTTTGCGAAAGTATACACAATGGTCATAGTGACTTCTTGTGTACTTTTGCCCGATCATAAATCCATCAAATCGTTTGTACCATTGTCTTGGAGACTGCTTCAAGCCATACAATGATTTCTTCAATTTGCAAACCCAATTTTCCTTTCCAGCAACCTTAAAACCTTCTGGCTGAGACGTATAAATCTCTTCCTCCAAATCACCATGTAAGAACGCAGTCTTGACATCAAGTTGGGCTAACTCAAGGTCAAACTGCACAACCAAAGCCAACAAAATACGAATAGAAGAATGTTTTACTACAGGAGAAAATACCTCATTGTAGTCAATGTCTTCCTTCTGAGCGTAGCCTTTAGCTACCAATCTGGCTTTGAATCTTACATTGTCTTTTCCCAAAGATTCCATCTTTTTGGCACACCCATTTACAACCAATTGCTTTCTTCCCCTTTGGTAACTGAACCAGATTCCAAGTCTCATTTTTATGAAGAGATTTCATCTCCTCATCCATAGATTTCTTCCACAACTCGCACTCTGAACTCATGACAGCTTCTTTGTAGGCGGATGGAATATCATCTTCAATAACAGGAAGTGCATATGCCACAATATCAGTAAATCGAGTAGGCTTTTGAATTTCCCTTCTCGATCTTCTGGT